GTACACTTAAATTACTTTGTGGGAAAAGAAAAGTCAGTGTTTTAAGACAGGGACTGCAGGTTTTAGTGGAATAAAAACAAAAGCAGAAGAAGTATGACAGTTCAACCAGTTGAGAATGGTAAAATGGATTAAACACTTGGCCTGGACTCAGTTCAGCGGGAACAAACCAACGGCAAGCATGGATACAGCAAATTGCAGCCTTGCACAGGCACAGTTTTGACAACTTTATCAGCTACCCTCACTTGTTTCAGGTGAAGCTGTTGAGTAAATACTATAGCTTAGATGCAGAAAACAGGTATTTAGATGACTGACTCCAATACTTGTATCTACCACAAACACCAAATGAGAGAAGGGAATAGTTAACATGACCATCTATATTGTGAAAAGCCTGGCAACTCAAATGTGCTGTGGAAAGAGAACTGGCACCATCCAAATGACCACAAACTATTTGAAGGCATAATCTTCCATTGCATTACAGTACTACTGCTCAATTTTCTATAAATTGAAAAAAAAATACAACCAGGAAAAGCTTATTCATAAACTTCACCTCTAAGATAATAGCACAAACCCCGTAGAGTTGAATCATGACATATTTTGTCATAGATAGCTGCTATAATCACAGTCCCCATATAGTGTCTGTGAGGGGGAGTTCTATATAAATATGTATAAACATGTAACTATCATTTTCTAAAAACTAGATTGAAGAGAACATAGTATCCCCACCAAAACCCAGACAAAGCTTTGCTATATTTTGGTGTGCCTCAGTACAGTGAGAGATACTGAAAATAAATGAATTCTGCATCTTGCACTGAGTTAGAGTCAAACAGTCTCATCCCTGGGTTTTATTTGATAGCTCATACAGTGAAAAGAACAAAAAAAAAATCAACATAAAATTTATACCTAACTCTTGTTACTTCTAGGGCTGTGCATGTTCTTAATTTCCTCTAATCAGAGCATCTCCCTGCACCTCTCTGGTGTCTTGGTAACTAATGAACCATCACAGCAAGGGAGCAAACACATTCAGCTCTTCTGCACAGGGCACCAGCTAACAGGCGAGGGCAACAAGAGTCCCGTTTTCCCTCAGGGTAGAAGCTCTTGTTTGTTGCCTCTCTGACAGACCTATCTAGAGGTCAGTTTTTACTACAAAGATCAGTTTTGTACAGGTTGAAGCACTAATTAAAAAGAAAAGACAAGCTCCTTTATTCCCAACTCAGTTTGCCAACCTTGCTTGCGGTTTGTGGTCTGAGACAAGGGCAAAAGGGTTTGATCCAGGAACATCGGAGTCCCTAGAGCGTTATTAAGAGAAAGAATTAAAGACAGAACTCAAGTGAGAGGTTTGCCCGCAGATGAGTGGTATGAAGCAGGGCTCCAATGAACCAGCTTACAACAAGGGAGCTGTAGCATATATAGGGAAGCAAGAAAATAGCGGCAAGCAAGGGGAGAGGGTGCAAAAGAGAGGAATACATCAGCAATTTGCAGCCCAATTATCCCCTGGCTGCTAGGGAAAGCACCTCTGAGGCGCTGGCAAGCAGATAGCTGTAGCCCATTCCCAGCTGCGGAATGAACTGATTCAAATTAGAGCTGCTTTCCTTTTCTAACTCCCCAGGGAAGAGCAGCAACTCTTTTCCAATTCCTCCCCCATTGCTGCAGCCCTGCAGGTGCTCAGGATGCTATTTTCAGCAATTCACCAGCAGGTGTGACTCAAGGCCCTGTTATTTAAAAGCATACAAAGGCTAATTTAAAGTGGGAACTGTCCTTCGTAGTATTGTGGCAACTTCAGTACTATGGATACAATTCACCCACTCTCCCCGCTTTTCATTTCTTCCACAATTCCCTGTTCCTTTTCAACCTAATACGCTTTAGAGAAAGAATGTCATGAAACCTCGGTAGATTTCCAGAGCCCAGGACTTCTGTGAAGTACCAGCACCCATCTACTGCAAGTAACCACACACCTTCCCTCTTTATGCCCTCCTTCTCAGCACTTTTCCTACCTACTGTGATGTTTCTGGGTGAAGAAACCCATTGCTTTCAGCTGATATTGTGTGCTGCTCTCATATTTACTTTTGTTCTATTTAGGTTTTAACAACCTAACCATGAGAAACAGAACACACAGTACTAGACTGGAAGATACTGAGAAATCTCAGGTCAAATTTTCAAATATGAACTCTGCAATGAAGTCCCAAAGCCAAATGCCTGTCTGAATACCATGCAAGGATAGCCCAACGGGAAGAGGGTTCCCCAAAGGGAAAAGCATCATACTCCTTTTACGTAGATAGTGTCAGCATTTCACTATGCTTTGGTTAGCTGAACTGGAACAGGAGCCTTCATCTATCCCTCACTGGCATGGCCCAGCTCACGATTACATTCCTCTAGGGCACACAGACTCTGTTTCTATCCTAGTACCAAATCAGCTGAAATCCACGGGGGGGGGGAGACCAAACAAAAAAACCACACACACACAAAAAAAACCCCAAAGCAAATAAAAAATAATAATATAAATAAATACACTATAGATGTCCCAAAATAAACTCATGCCACCTCACATGGAAAGCCAGGTAAGCAAAGTGATAGAACACATCACCTTTAGGTACACTGGAGCTGTCACTAATCCACCCTAGGCAGCAGTTTTCCTAATGATTTTTATTAGCAAGTCATTCTCCCAAAAAGGGCATGCTGGGGGCAGCAGCAGACCTGAACTGTCCCATTCCACCACAGATACCATACCCAACCCTACACAGCAGCAAGCTTTCACCTGCCAGAATTCAGCAAAGACATTTCAGATGAGTGAAATGCCAAGTGTCTTTATCTGTAGACTGAATGTGGTGACTGACATAAACTCTCACAGACACATAGAACGTTCAAGGGAAGGTGGAAGAAATCACTTTAGACACACAAATTAACGCTTTGGTAATGATTTAGGTGTGTGCATGCTATAATAAAGTATTAAATTTGTAACATTTTACAGTGAAAACTGTGACAGCAAAAGTGATTGTACTGTTAAGTTCATTTAGGTTCCCTTTCGTCTTCCCCCCTTCCTGTTCCTGCTTCCATCCCTCTATCCCTGTGTTCATTAGTTACTTCCAATCTTCTTTTTTCCTACTCTCTCCTATCATTTTTCTCTCCTACTTCCCCCCCTCCCCAATGTCTTTCAGTTCTTCCTTCAGCCTCTTCTCCCACATCTGAAAAAGTGGTGTTGCTATAACTAGCCACACTCAGGTTTCGTACCTGGCAACAGCTAGCACAGGAAAGCCATGAAGCAGGAAGAGCTGCTATTTCAAATCTCTCTATCAGCAGATGCTTTAGCTAGAAGATGCAGCAAAAAATAGGATTGCCTTAGGAAGGTAAGCAAGTACCATCTGGGAGGAAGGGAAGGAAAGCTGAGAGATATAAAGCAATCCTGTAAGCTTGCACTACCTGAAGTTCACAGACTACAGTGCGTGTATTTCCCATGCATTTTAAACAGCAAGTAACAGATTTGCAGCATTTTATCATTTGTATTTATGCTCTAATATGCTTAGATGTGGCACATGAATCTGGTTGTGGCAGGAATTAAGACATGTATGACAGGCATCTCTTTACAGGTTACTGTCCTGAGCTATAATTTTTATTTCAGACATATACATGCACACAATTACTATTACGAAATACTCTGTAGATGTGAAACAGATTGAGTACACAGGTAAGCAAAGAACCTCTAAAGCACAGTTTTGCACTGAAAGACAGATACATAAAAATGGCACGTTCCAAAGTATCCCTGAAATCCCTAACTTAGCAGTATTACTATAGTATATTAGCCCTGAAAAGTAAAACTTCTACAGGAAAGTGAACTGGCTTTCCATATATCTTGCACACCAGAAATCCTCCTTTAGGGCATATACATAGATGGAAATTATTTCAAAAGTTGCACAAATTTTGTGATAGCTTGAGGACATTCAGACAAAGGGCAGCTGTGGTTAGAATCTGGCCTACCAAATTATCATAAACATCCTCCTCCTTTTTTTGTCTGGAGAGCAACACAGCTAAACAACCCATCACCAGATCCTATCAGCTACTACACAGCACACCCATCCTCACCTAAATAGCTTACCAGGTAGCAATTGACCACGATGCATAAAGAGAAAAGAATCCAGCTTAACTGCCAAATCCCATATATTTAGTGTTCAGGAGAAATATAAGAAGCACTTCCGAACTGGCACACACGATCAGAAAACTGTGGAGTGACAAGTACAGAACACCAATGTGTTGTTTCTAATAGCCATAGAATAGACCTGCATTTTGGGTCTTGCACATTCACGTGCTGCTTATGAGCCACTGTCACAGTCTGTAGTAGACAGGCTCTTTGTGAGCTCCATAGCCAAAGAGAAAGTGCATTCCCAACCAGGCTCATCTAGCTTGTATAACAAGGGCTGAAATCAAAGAGTTCACATCTATGCATCTGCCGTGCAAAGTAAATCTCCACCTTTTTCACCAGCAAATTAGCTTTGTTCTGTAACTAACCGAGAAACAATTAACATTCAAATTTACAATGCAGCTCATTCTGTTTTCTCTTCTTTTACCTCTATTTCTCTATCAGAGTTTGCGTTTTTCATCATTTCTTCTGAAAACACCCCAGCTCCTAGCTCTTAAATAACCATACTTCTGTCACCCCCCCTCCCTCATTTCAATGAGTAAAAACAACTTTCTCAGCCTCCCAGGTTGCCTCAGAAAGGTTTGAGTTTCATTTCCCTTTATGCCTGTGTATGGTCACCCTAAATAAATAAAAATAGTAAAATAATAATATTTAACATTCAGTGGTCTAAGCACTCGTTACCTAAGCAACAGAAAAATTAACCTCAAAAAACCCAACTTCATCCTCTTCATGCTGAGATATAGGGAACATACATTTCAAATTACCTAATGATTACCTATGAAGAAAAGGGCACGGCAGGTACTAAATGAAGGCACAGAGTGGAATAATGACAAGGCAACACCGCATTTGCTGTATGAAACGAGAGCCTTACCATCCTGCTGGCCCTGGAGGTTCTGAGGACTTTGCATTCTCTCTTCCAGATTTGAGCTGAGGTCAGAGTTCACAGCTGACATCCTGGTCGAGTCACTCATATCAAACTCATCACTTTCTATAGAGCTTTCATCCTGCAAATAAAAGTTTTGGAGATATGTCAGAAAACACTGTTCACATTATACATGCAGTTTACTGGTTCCCATTTGTTTCACTCACACCTGGTGTGTATTGTAATCATGCTAAATCTTTGTGTATATAAGCAAACAAGCAGAGGACATAAAGAAGAGCAAGGAAAACACACTGTTTATGTGGTATGATAACCTGACAAGTGCATGAGGATACTCCATTACTGCAGTCTCTTAACTGTTTCCATACTATTTTGCAAAAGGGGGCTAGTACCTAGAGACCCCATAGCAAGTCCTTGTTATTCAAATTTGGTTGAGGAGAGCTCTCCACATTCCCTGCCTGAATCCTCTACCTTTCCCAAGCAAGGCTGGTAACCCCATGATGACCACTCACAGTAAGATATTTCCAAATGGCAACTTGACCTAATAAGAATCCATGATCAAATTCCCTTGACATGATGTCGCCCTTACACAGGCGAATGTATGTATGTAATGAAGCATCGGTGAAAATGATAAAGCTTAAAGTTCTGAGCATGTTCAAATGGCAGTCAATGGCAAACTAAAGTAATATAACCAGAAGAATCTATCTATTATTCTATATTATTCTATCTAATATATTCTATATTATTCTATCTCATACATTTTTAATCTATCCCTCTAGATCTATCCCTCAAGTCTAACTACAGAGCATCTAATAAGGATGACAGCAGAGGGCAAAAAGTAAAAGTCCCAATCAAATGTTTTGTTCCCATTTATAAAAGCAAAACAGTTCCAGACCTAGTCCAGCATACGTTCACATACATGTCTAACTTCACTTGTTTCAGTCCTGCTGAAAAACCACTCATGGATTAAAACTCAAATGTCCACAAGTCTTGCTCTGTAAGCTTCTGAAGCAACATACCAACCTATGGTGATATACTTCCAGTAACAACTTTTCTGAGATAATTACTCTAGTTATGAAGAAAAGCATTTTAAAGAATTTTATTGGAAAATATGGCAAATAATTTTGCATCCCAAGAAGATCAGTTTAAAATACTTTTCCAATTATTTTTTTCTTTTTTAAAAAAAACCAAAACTGACAGGATTCTGACCATTTTTCTGGGTTACTGTGTACCTGTTGTGAACTGGTTTCTACAGTTCACAACTTCTTTCTGAGTGCTTAGCCCTTAAATCAATTTCTCTCTTGGGTCTCAGTGATGTTTCCAGCTTGCATGGGTTTCTCTCTCATTTTCAGAAGGCGAGTTCCCTGCAGTCATGACTCTTTTTAAACTAGGATGGAGTACTGCCAAATGTCGTTTAGGAGTGAGAGTGGGACAACACGCAAGAGGGTGCTGTACAGCACCGTGACACCAGGACATTGACAACTAATGAAACAAACATACCTTGTTCTCAAAGTTTTGTAAAATAATAAATGGAAAAGTGAGGGCTTCTCTAGCAGGCATCTGCCTGCCTTGCCCAGATAGGGCAGGAGCACCACAGTTGCAGCGCCATCAAATACTTAAACACTGCCCTCACACAAGATCATGGTGCATACTACCTCCTGACCCAGACAGATAGGGCCAAGACATATGTCAGCCTGGTTCTGAGGTTTAGGGAAAACACATACTGCTTGTTCAAAGAGCAAGATCATAACACAAACTCCTGCAGACCTCTGGAAGGCTGTGTCTGTAAGATGCAGTGGTATTTCTCACTGAATCCTGCAGGAGCCAGCAAGCAGCAGCAGCTTACATTTTCCAATTCTGAGTTTAGGCAATCTGTATGGGCTCCCAGAAAGGGAGCTCTAGCTATCCAACACTTGCCTAGGTATAAAACAACACACATGGGCAGCCCATGTTTGCCTACAGCACTCCGCAGAATATCTCCACCTCCCTCTCCAAACTGCGTAAACATTTGTCTGAATCTGTGTGGACACATAGGCACAGGGAGAGGAGCTGGGAGCCACTGACATCTTTGTTTATCACACAGTGATGAGCTCTCGTTTTAGATGAAGCCCATTTCCCTTTCATCAATGGCCTCAGCTTAAAAATGACAAATTGAGGACAAGAATTAGGAGGCTTTTAGTCACTGTGCTAGCTAGTTGTGGGATCCAAGTTTACTCCTGTTTCAATTCCACCCACTCCACAAGAATACAGATATGATTGATGAATCCTTGGAAACAGAGCCCTCCTACAAAGCCAAGAATGTTTTTCAAGTGCACAAAATAGTTTGAATGTATGCACCAGAAATCTTGCTGCTTTGTACTACAACATTTTCACTGTCATTTTGTTCTTAGCACAATAAATGTACAGCCCAGAGAAAAAAAAGAAATTCTTGGAAAAAATCTACTTTGAGAAAAGATTATCTTCAGAAACATAAAGATTATCTTGAGAACTTACCTTGTGCTCACCCTGCCCTGGCAAAGACATTATTACTAAAACATGTAAGAAATTAGCTTCTCTTCATAAATCTAGTGCTGCAGACATTTCATGCACAATAACATTAGAACTACAAAACCAAGCTGGCCATTGCTTGGAAATACCAAGCAATGGTGCTTTCTGGTGCTACTATATAATTGCCACTGGTTCATCTAGATGAAAAGTTGGTTTAACAAAAATTTCAGTCACCAGACCAGAAAGACTACACCAAAACATTTAGGCTATAGAAACACTGTGGCAGGTGGCCCTGACCCAGCACGTGTTTGACCCTGTTGTAGAAGGAGTAATCCTCAAGAGATGTGGAAAACCCAAAGAATCCTTTAACTCTAAAGGCTACTGCAGGGATAAAGCCTCTTCACTCCTGCTGCTTGAAACCCTGCTGCCAGATCCCTGAAAAGGGGCAGCACATAGAGAGACTCAATAGGAGGGAAACATGACCAGGCTGTATTTGTGCAGGGAGAAGTCTGAGTCCAGGGTCTCTCCCCACACACTCCACAAGACAAAACAGAAGCAAAAGCAAAACAAGAATCCTGATATTTCTAGAAGAGTGATGAAACCCCCATTCTATGGAGTGTTAATAATTCATAAATCCCCACCAATAGCCCATATCTACGAATTATGAAGCCAAACCTGGCTGATTCCACAGAAGTCAGGAGTCAGTCAGGGTCTTTGACGTAATCCAGCTGCTAAGGTTGTTTTTGAAGGTTTTATTTATTAAAGAAGTATCCTGTAGTCAGGCAAAAGGACACAGCACACAGGACTGCTTCTTAGCTGGCATATAGCTGAGCTTCTAAATATCTGGCTGCTCAAACAGTAAATGAACACATTTCTAGCAAAATGAGTTTATTACAAATAATTTTGTAGATGCCATCCAATTGATGAAGCACTTCTTAAGATCTGGAAAAACTAAAAATATATCATAGAAAGAAAATAATTTTCGAGAAGAAAATCATACAATTCAACTCCAGTTCTCCCTGACAAAGCTTGATTCTCAGTCCCATTCTCTTCCATTTTTTTGTTATTCAAAGTTTCAAAAACAAGCTCTACTCTTATTTATCAAGCTTTTTGCCCTAAATATTCCAACTGATGTTGCCAGGGATTCCATCTATCTCACTATAATGTGTTGCAACCTGACTGCTAACCTTGAGAAACATCATGGATTTCATTTCAGCCATTGATGGTATTGCTTTCTAGTAGACAATGAAAGTCACTGCTGAGCACAACACTAAGTCTCAGGTGAACACACTGCTCCCATTACCCTTTCCACTGGTCCAGACAGTAAAAGGGCACCTTCAGATAATTTGAAGCAGTAGAGCATATTACCCCCAACCATGGAAGGGTGGCAAGTCATGACATTTTCTCTCAACCTGATTACTTGCAGACAGCCTTGGTTTGGTTTCAGACTCACTATTTTAGCAGCAAAATTGTAAAGATGTGATCAACAATCATCTTATGTTTGGTTTCCTGGCTACCACAATGGCAAGTACCAAAAGAACACAGAACAGAAAACCAAAAGATTTCAGGTTTTACCTCATCTTGCTGTGAATTTAGTAGCTGCAGCTTCATGTGTTTCATATAAGCCATAGTAATTGGCATGTTGTAATCAATCATACTGGTCACCAAAGTTGGAGGTTTTCCATTATCTGCAATAAAAATATTAATTATGCATTTTATGTTAATTGTGGAGGCTACTTCAGCCTCCTCTGCAGTCAAAGTCAGACAGTTATGTCTTTTAGCCCTAACTTTGGCATTTTTGATTGATTGCAAGATGTACAGATGGAAGTCTCCAGAAGAAAACTGAAAATCAAGTTCAAACCCTGAAAAGTGATGAGTTCTTCTACCCTAAATGACTACAGCATATGCACCCTATCTATTCCTTATGTTTAAGCCCCCATATAAACATTTCCATAGAACAATAAATTACATCCTCCAGATAAAATCATCTTTCTATTGAGGGTGCATATGGTACTATACTCCATCCTTAAGTGAAAGCAGAAGATTCACTACCTTCCAGCTTAAGTAAATGAGATGATCTCACTTACTGAACTGTTCCAGTCTACCAAATTTTTATGAAGCCTCACTTAAGCTAGGAAAATATAATATGGGTATTAGGAATAAAATGACTTTACATCCCACTATTTGACACTAAAACTACCTTTATGATCTGCTCCATCTGGGTTTAAATGCATTCTTTTCTGGCACTCTGAGCAGCTCATTAGAAATCGTGTCACCGCTTCTCTCGGTAGGAAGGCATAGGTCTCTGAAATCTGAAATGAATAGCAAAATATAGGTGTTATTATATAAGCTGATTGAACACAATTTAACAGAACTGATCATTAGATTTCCAAATAAGGCATATTATCTTATAATGCCAGGAAGCACAATGAAAGCATGTTCTGCATACTATGTAGGATTTCAAGAAACATCTATCCAGTCTTCCTGCTTACCATCTAATGGCCAGTAACAGTCAATACTGAACAAAATTCCACTTACATCAAAAAGGGGGGGGGTTCTGTTTACAGGTGGCTTCTTTTCAAATTCCTATCAGTAATAAGATTCAGCCATAACAGGCATCTCACTGAGGAATGTTTTTCAAAAAAGCTGAAAAGAGACTTATAACCAGTACCAAAAAAGGAAGTGTTTGGCTTACGTGTTCTATTTATTTTTATTGTAACAATACACAGAGAGATACAGGACTCAGTATACTAGCAGCAATGACAGTATCCTTACTATTTTAACTTTTTATTTGAATGTTTTGCAAAAATACCCTTGGAAAGCTTGTGATTTAATACTATGGAGTAAATATGTTCTTTTTACTAATAGCTATAGAATTTGGGAATTGCTTGATTTTAAAGACAGCTTTACCTGGAGATACCTTGAAACATTTCCCCATTTCAACATTATCATTCTTTCCAACCACATACGCTCAAGAAGACATCACAGGGATTTATTTTTTTTTTCTTTTATGAAAGGGGAGAGAATGAAGCAGTTATTGACATTTTTAAAGACTGTGTTCCCTCCACTCCCAAGGACGCCTATGTCTTTATAGAAATTTTGCCTTGCTGAAAAGGACCTCAAGATTGGTACCAAGCCAACAATGAGCCAACAGCATACTCTTCGATCACAGGTAAAGCACACCTCATACAGGCTGCATCAAATGTGTGGCCAGCAAATCAAGAGCACTTATTATCCCTCTCTACTCAGTTCTGGTAAGACAGCAGCTGGAACAATGTGCCCAGGCTGCCCCTACGCCGTTCAAGAAGGCTGCTGAGAAGCAGAAGAGGGCTCTGTGGCCAGCCACCATGGCAGCTGGAACCTAAAGAAAACCTTGGAAAGAAAGGTTGAGGGAGCTGGATTTGTTTCATGTAGGGTATGAGCCAGAGAGAGACCTAATTACAGCCCACCACTGTCTGAAGGGGAGTTAAAAAACTGTGGAAATAAACGCTTCAGGGGGTATAACCAGAGACAAGAGCCACCAACTGGGGCTTGGGACATACAACCTAGACATCAGCAAAAACTTCTTCACTAAGAGGCCAGTGCACTGGAGCAGCTTTACCAGATGGGTGGAAGAATCTCCAAACTTGGATGTTTTAACAACATTACAAGACAAAGCCATGGCTTTTCTGTGATTCATTATATACATTGTATATACACTGAACTGTGAAAGTGTTGTAAGGAACAAAAAAGCCTTTCTTTTCCCAGCTGAGGTGATTGTCTCACAATGGAGATAATCCTTAAAGAAAGACAAAGCCCCAGCAAGAGAGATTAAAAAACAAGAGTCAACTCGTATCTGCTTGTATCCCCTTACTGTAAACCCTACAGTAGGATTTTATTTCCTGTAAAGCACTACACTGATGCATGACTCTGTAGGAAGTGCAAAAAGGACGGAGGTGGGGTGTATGAAAGTGTGCATACAGCAAGGACAAGATAACTTTCTTTAACTGGATGCAATTGGGATTATATACTGTACAAATCACTTGTGCTCCTCACGAAGGTGCGAGGAGGGGGAGGAATGGCCAGTTTTAACTCTCTTACACTCTTCTCCTTGGCTTGTCACCTACTCAACCTGTGTTTACTAAAACTCCATGTACCAAGTTTATCAGTGGCAGTATTTTGGAAAATAGGTAGAGTTTAAGTTCATGTTTGTTGATTTGACATGAGCCATGGAAATATATGGAAATGATGCATTATAAAAGAAGAATGCAAATTATATCATCCTGTTTAAGGTACTGTTGTTTAGGCTTTATTGTTGTTGTTTACCTATAGAATGGAAATGTTATTTTGGAGAGGAGAAGGGAATTAGTATAAAAGCAAAATTTGTTCTGCGGTGAAAATTGGAAAAGATTTTCTCTGGGCCTGAAGCAATTTATCTGAAAACGAAGGTACTAAATGAAGCCACTTACGAATGGGAGATCCTACCAAAAAAAAAAAAAAAGCATTTTCATATTTTTCCTGGTTTTTATACCACAGAACAGATGCTTATTTACCTTTCTAAATATGAAAACATTGGTTGTACTCATGCTTTATGTAATTTAAAAAAAGAACTTAAAATCAGCTAGAGTTTAGCATTAAGAAAATCGGTAAGTGCACATACACAGCAACCTCTCTCTCTTAACACTTAACACATTTAGCACTGTATTGAAATTAATGGAGCTTACCCATGGATTCATTAGTTGACTGCATTTGATAGGAATGCTCCATTTATTCTAATCAAGTGTCTCTGTCAAAATTCCAGTTCTGCTCAAACAAGATGAAAATCATCCATGGAAAGCAAGTAAGCTAAGGCCCAGATTTGATAGGTGTGTTCCAGTGACTATATGGGAACTGGGTTTTATAACTAAATTCATCCACACAGCAGATGCTTGTGTCTCCAAACTCCCACTGCAACACAGTTTTAAGGATGCCCTTCCCTAAATAACACCAGTTTTTACCAACTTCCTCCCCTGTTTACTTTGTAAGTTGAATCAATCACTTCCATTTCAAGATTTTAGCCTGTATAAATTGGCATAACACAAGAGGTATGACATTAAAGGGGATATGTAGAGGACATAATCCTCAGTTTTCCTTATTCTTGCTGCTCAAATATACACAAAAAGCTCTTTCTAATTTTCAATGCCAGAAAGCTTACAAACACCATCCCCCCAAACCTCATGTCCCCAGCAGTGCAGATGTCTGTTTGCCTTTCTCATTAAAGAAAGGCACATCTATTTTATAAGATGCAGATAGCCCCTTGCTCACTATGGCCATGCTCTGAACCAGATGGCATAGCACCAGCTGTAGCCAGGAAGTGCTCTAACCAAATTAGCACAAGGCTGAACACAAAATCCTACATTTCACCCTTCAGTTGAGTTTACCAGCTTCTGCACAAGGCTGGGCTGATGTAGCTCATGGAGTTGGCTTGCATGTGGCTACTTCAGAGCACAAGCTGGAGACCTATGACACTTTCGAAGTAACTACACAGAAATACCTCAGACAGTGGTCTGACTTCATCAGGGAAAATTGGTTTTGTCCTCTATTCCCTCTGAAAGAAAGCAATAATGACTCAGTCCTCAATGATGCTATATATTCTCACTGCCTTCAGCAGCCCTGCTCCTAGCTCTCTTCTCAAGGCTGTTAGCTAACAAAAAATATAGCCAGACCATTTCATTCAGCGATGTGCTGCAATAAAAGAACATTGTTTTACTGCAATTCCAAAAAAACCCAAGGCACAGTTCTATGTTTTAAGAAAAAAATAAAGCCAGAAAAGTGAATTGAAGTAGGGAAAATTGCATTATTTACATCCACACATTGACAATGCAGACCAGCATAATTTTGGCATGAATTACAAGAAACTGCTCTTGCACATGCCTGCACCAATCAAAGAACAATCAGTGCTGATTTACCAGAATGATAAAATTACTTGAACTGCTTTAAAAACAAAAAAGTATACTTGTTTCAAACATGAAGCATTATAAGTATGAGATTCCTTATTCTTACTAGTGCTTTTATTGCACATTAGCATGTCTTCTGTTGCTTATAGAATCATAGAATAGTTAGAGTTGGAGAGGACCTTAAAATCATGTAGTTCCAACCCCCTGCCATGGGTAGGGACACCTCGCACTTAACCATGACGCCCAAGGCTCTGTCCAACCTGACCTTGAACACCGCCAGGGATGGAGCATTCACAACTTCCTTGGGCAACCCATTCCAGTGCCTCACCACCCTCACTGTAAAGAACTTCTTCTTTATATCTAATCTAAACTTCCCCTGTTTAAGTTTGAACCCATTACCCCTTGTCCTACCACTACAGTCCCCTAACGAAGAGTCCACCTCCAGCATCCTTGTAGGCCCCCTTCAGGTATTGGAAGGCTGCTATGAGGTCATGTAGAAACATGCTACCTTATATCTGGCTGTATTCTGTATAACAGACAAATTCTAGCAGGTTGGTATTTAGATATAGTGTACTAGGTATAGCTCTTACAGCTGAATGTGGTTTACATTGTAAAGGGGAAAAAGTTATATGAAGAAGAAACTAGACAGATGGAGCATTAAGCAAAGTATGCAAAAATCCTACAGGGTTTGTTTTAGCTTCAGAAGTTATAGGATAAGAAGCAAACATTTCCTAGGAATACAGTCACATGCACACCTACACATACTTCATTTTAACTATGAACTCAGAGGAAAACAAAGAGTTGACTTCAGTGCTTTGAGTCAAAACTTTTTATGATCTTATTTCACAAGTCTATGGTATAATATATTTTGACATATATCAACTCATCCAAAACATTGGCCAACAACAAAGGCTTCACTGGATCCCATGAACAGTGCAACTACTACAAGACAAGTAATCCAGCACCTGGGCATGTAATTTGATTTACACTGGAGATAAGTTGCATGCCCTAGCTGTCTATGAGAAGGGTATTGCATTCCACAGAGAAGACAGGCAAAGTCTCCTTTACGCTGTCCGGTATTAAGATGATTTAAGTACAGGATGTTGTGGTGATGTAGCTTTCAGAGCTACATTTTTATTTGGAAAATTAACAAGCTCTAAACTGAAAGGCAGATTTTAGGACACATATGGCAGAGCAGGAAAGACAAGTGTGAGGAGAGGGAGTGAAATTTTGCAAGTGAACCTATTAACCCCTAAAGAATTAACATGGAGAATGTATGTGTAGTCTGGAAGATATGATGTGTCAGAATAGAGATTTTTTCTGTTGTTCTGTGTGTATTTTTTTTTAATTAAGGAGGGTAGCGGGGGGAAGATGATCCAAAGAAGACTTCCAAGAGG